CCTGAGAACTGGGAATCTAAAGACCTTGATGAAGGCTCTGGCCAGGATCAGGGGCTGACCCCAGGCTGACAGACTCCTGAGGCTGCCCTCTGCACCTCCAAGCCAGGCTGGCTGTGCAAGATCAGCCTGTAAGGGGCCTGCAGGGTCTGTCCCAGGGTCAGCCAGATACCAGCATTCAGGGATCCCCAGAGACTTGGGGACATAGGATAGGACTTTCCGTGAGGGCACCAAGTCCTTGCTGACTATGAGGCCAGGCAGAGCAGGAAGCTGCCACCAACATGACCCAGAACCACGGACTGTCCTCCATTTCTGGCTTCACCATCCACCACCTCTCCATTTCCTTCACCATCCTGCTTCCTACTTAAAATAGTGCTTCTCAAACTTGAATGTGCATACACATCACCCAGCAAGGCTTGTTAATTGCAGATTCTGATTCAGCAGTTGAGGCCAGAGGTGCTGCATTTCTAACCAGTTCCCAGGTGACAGTGAAGCTGGTGATCTGGGGATCACACTTTGGGAAGCAAGGCTCATAAGAGCAGCATAGATGATACCTTCTCTTAGACTTACCTAATACACCCCTATCCTACTCCCACCCATGCCTCAGTACGGGGTGCCCTCATGCTTACCTCTAACACACTGTCTTAGAATCTTTCGTTTAGTGTCTGTCTTCCTCATGGGGTAATGAACTTTCTGAGGACAGGAGTGAGTCTTAGTTATCTTAATAGCACCAGAACCTAGCACTGTGCCTGGTATATAGTGAGTGTCCGGGAAGGAAAGAAAGCTAGAGGGAAGGAAGAAGGATGGATGCATAGATTCATGGGAGAGGAGGAGAGGAAGAACTGAAAGGGTTTGCTGGAGGTACCCTGAATTTTACAACATGCCAAAGCAAGTTAAGGTTGGAGGTCAGCAGAGAATGGGCTGTTTTTCCAGAATGAGATGGAACGTGCAATAGTTGGGGAAAACCTTGAGTAAGAGCAGTTGAGAGCGATGAGGGAAGAAGCTTGGGGCAGCTGAGGTTGGGGGTTCAGGAGAACAAAGATTGCAACATGGGTATTGTGCAGAGTGGGGGCCTGCTGTCAGGATATGGCCAAAGGTAAGCAGCTCTAGCCATCCACCAAGCTGCTGCAGCATCATCCCTGCATCCATCACAATGACATTGGACCATACGACAAGCCTGGCGGCCACCCTCACATCTCTGCTCCCTAGTAGCCACTGTCCCACAGGCTCTAGAGGGAAACCAGCATTCCCTCCAGAGGACAGTTCCAACAGGCGTCTAGCGGGGGAAAGCAGGTCCCCTGGGAAATGATGACCTTACTACAGAGAAGCTGGCACAGTCACAGAGGTCGGGCGGTTGAGGTGAGTGGGTGACTGGATGCCCTCTGTCCTTAGCAGGGCCCGTGAAGAATAAATGCAAAGTGGGGTCTTGTATTCAGTCCTAGACTAGAAAAATAATGGTAGTGGGATGTTGACAAAATCTATAAGGTCTGCAATTAATAGCACAGTGTCAGTGTTAATTTCCTGGCTTTGCTAATTGCACGATGGTGTCAGCAGATGTTAGCTGAGGGGAAGCTGGGTGGAGGCTAGATGGGGGCTCTCTGTCCTATTTTTGCAACTTTTCTTTAAATCTAAAATTATTTCCAAATGAAAAGATAGAAAAGAAATCCTGGTGAGGGTTATCTGTGGACTCCAGGAAATGCTCCCTTGAGCTCTGAGCAGGAAAGCTATGGAAGGCAGAAATCTTCACTTCCTTTATGCTTTTCTGCCTTTTCCATTTTTTGTTTGTACTGAGCATGTGATCTGTTTAAATTAGAGTGAGAAAAAGAGGTTATATAATAGGTTGCATATCCATCAGATGGGTGGTGTGCAGGGCGTGACAGAGACTGCACCGACACCTGGGTCAGTCTGTCTTGTTGGGCACAGGTCACTGGGAAGGAGACCCCTCTCTCATGGGACAGCAACTTAGACGTGTCTTTGTCTTTCATGACCTTGAGACTTGCAAAGAGTGCTGAACTGTTAGGAGGCAGAAGTGTCCCTCACTTAGGGTTTGCCTCTTGTTTTCTCCCCATTCAGTGGAGGTTAGCGGTTTTAGACCAGACATCAGAGCAGTGTCCAGTGCCCCGTAGAGGGGAGGCGTCCAGCCTCTAATGTGGCACTGCTGGCATGTTGACCTTGATCAGTGGTTAACATGGGGTGTGCTGGCTTTCTTCGTTGTCAAGAGGCTATTTTTTTAAGCTTTATTTTTATTTATTTATGCATACGGGGGTGCAGGCCAGAGGTGCGGGGGTGAGAGGATTCACCAGAGAGAGTGGGGAGCAGAACAAGCAGATCTACTGAAATACACTGCTGAGGGGAGCAGCAGGTGAGGCAGGAGAGGTCTGCTGCGCCATGTGGGTCAGTTCCCTGGCCGGGAATCGAACTCATGCTGCAGTGGCTGGCAAAAGCTTGATAGCACTGAGACTTTAACCCCCTGCGCCACCAGGGAGGTCCCAAGAGACTATTTTTTACAGTGATATTTTCATGCCTGTGCAACTTCCCTTTAGTGACCTCTACCACAATCAGAGCCTCTTTTTGTACATCTAGTTCATTGTACATTTAGTTCATTACTTGTCTTTGGTTTTGTTTTTGTTTCAAGATTTATTTTTATGCATACAAGAGCTGGAGGACAGGCCAGAGATGCAGGGGGTGAGAGGATTCATGGGACAGAGTGGGGAACAGAACAGGCAGACTGACTGAAATACACTGCTGAGGGGAGTAGTGGGATGGCAGGAGCGGTCTGCTGTGCCATGTGACTCACCTCCCTGGCTGGGGATCAAACTTGTGCTGCAGTGGCTCAGGATTGCCTCACAGCACTGTGCTTAACCCCTTGCACGACCAGGGAGGGCCCCATTACTTGCTTTTGTTTGTACTGTTACAAAGAAAGCTCAGGGACCTTTCCTGTGGCCACACCTGCACCCACATCACATCCCTGATCATTTTGTTAGGATAAATTCCTAAGAGTAGGTTTGCTCAGGCAAAGATTATTCACATTGTTCAGCGCGTGTGGGTCTGGGATAAGGCTATTTGTTTCTATGTTTCAAACATAGAAAAGGTACATTATATCTTTAACAAGGTATAGTGTAAATGCAATAAAATGCATCGATCAGAAGCATATATTCCATATTACTCAGCATTCAAAAAAGATAAACACATGCAATTTGCAGCAACATGGATGACGCTGGAAGGGATCATGCTCAGCGAAATAAGCCAAAAAGAAAAAGAAAAATACCGGATGGTCTCACTCATAGCAGGAATCTAGAAAACTTAAATAAGGGACCAGGAAAATGAATAACTATAAGAAAGTGAAAATCAAAATCAACAAAAAACTATGAACCAGAGACACTTTTTGGGGGGGGGGCGGGGGCGGGAGGGGAGGGATTGGGGTCAGAATGGGGGGCTGCAATTGTATGGGGAATATAACAATAAAATTAAATAAATAAATAAATAAAATATTTTAAAAAAAATTATCTTCTATGAAAATTTAAAAAAAAAAAAAAAGAAACATATATTCCAGTGGGTTTTGACACATGTGTACACCCTGCAACCTCCCACCCCATCATGCTATAAAACATTTCTGTCATTCCCCCAAATTTCTTGAGGGTCCCTTGTGGTCCTTCTTCCCCTGCTCCTCCCAGGCAATCACTCACTGGGTTTCTATTGCAAGCTAGTGTTTCCTAGGTGGGATTTCATATAAATCAGAATTATGCAATATACATCCTCTTAGGACTGTCTTCTTGGATTTGACCTGGTGCTGGTGAGTTTCATCCTGTCGTGCGTGTCAGCTGTCTGTTCCTCTGCCCTGCTGCGTGGTTTATCCACCCTCCCCCTGGCTGGCATTTGGGCTATTTCCAGTTGGGGATATTATGAATAAAGCCACATGAACATTACATGCAAGTGGACATAAGTTCTCATTTCCCTTGGGTCCCTACCTAGGGTGATGTTGCTGAGCCATCCACAGGTGTGTGTTTAACTATTAGACGTGCAGCAGCACTCTGTCTGCCCACCTGTGACTATGCAGGTGCTTCCTTTCAGCAACTCTCTCCCTCTGCAGGGCAGCAGCCTCCCTGCCTGCCCATGATCTGTACCAGGCCGGGACTTCTCTTCACTGACCTCCCTCAGCAGAGATAGCTCTCCTCAAGGCTGCCCGCCTGCAACCATTCAGGCCTCTCTTAGCAAAACCTGTCCCTTTCCCTTTCCCTAATAAACCTGCTCTTCATATATATATATAAACAAACTATTAGACGTGCGAGGGTAGGGCTATTTTCATCTCCGTGCTACAGCACAGGCCACAGAAAGCTGAGGGAGGAAGGCAGATAGAATCTCTTCACCACTGTTCTGTGCCAGGTCTGTACCCTGTCCTTCTATCCACAGAGTACCCCAACAAGGTAGAAACTGTGGTTCCCATTCTGTAGGTGAGAAAGCTGAGGCTCACTAACATGCAGCAAGAGGAGATCAAATCCACCTGAGTCCGCAGTCCACCTTCTGACCCCAGAAATTCCCCTGCCTCTGTGAAAGCAAGAGGTGATGGAGCTGTGAAGGGGAATTTGTCTCCCCCTTTGCCCACCTCTCAGCCTGGCCTCCCCTGTGTCCTGCAGTCCACCCTACCCATGCCCCTGAGGCCTGGGGCAGCCCTCTAGAGATGAGCAGGACCGGGGTGGGGCAGGGAGTGTGACCCACACTGCAACTCTCTTTCAAAGGTGTCCAGTTTCTCCCTCCCTGAAACGTGATCCTCAGTGGTTTGAGCCTCTGGGCTGGTGGGCAGCGGGTGAGGGCAGCGGGCAGGGGCCACGTCTCCCTGGCTGTATCACAGGCCCATTAGGAACAGGCCTGAGTGCTTTCCAAAGCTGATTAATGGCCTGCCTGTGACCTGAAATGTCATTACTGCTCGGGCTGGGGGTCCCCCCCAGCTGTGTCCTTTGGGTCTTTATTGCTAATAATAATTGATGTTTTCTGTGCGGTTGCAGGGAAAGTTTTATCTGGTCATAGAGGAGTTGAGCCAGCTGTTCCGATCACTTGTCCCCATCCAGCTGTGGTATAAATACATCATGGGCGACGATGCCTCCAACAGCTACTTCCTGGGAGGGGTCCTAATCATCCTCTACAGCCTCTGCAAGGTGAGTGACCCAGGGCTGGGGGGCCGGCCAAAGACAGACCCATTTACTAGCCAGGCATGGGGGGGGCCACCGGGAGCCTGGAATAACCACCTTAGTCTCTCTCCTTTTAATTAAAGTTTAATTCACAAAACAAAAAATTAACCACTAACCATTTTAAAGTGAATGAGCCAGTGGTGTTTAGCACATTCAGTGTTGCCTGGCCTCCACCTCTATCAAGTCCCAGGATATTTTCCTCACCCCAAAAAGAGACCCTGTACCTATTAAGCAGTTACTCCCATTCTCACCTACAGAATGGGAACCACAGTTTCTACCTTGTTGGGGTACTCTGTGGATAGAAGGACAGGGTACAGACCTGGCACAGAACAGTGGTGAAGAGACTCTATCTGCCTTCCTCCCTCAGCTTAATCTCAGACGAGATTAAGCAGTCTCGTCCCAGTCCCTGGCAACCACTATTCTCTGTCTCTGTGGACTTAGCTCCTCTGGATATTTCATATAAATGGAATCCTACGAGATGTGACTTTTTGTGTGTGACTTTAATTTAGCATAGTATTTCCAGGTTTCCCCTACACTGTAGCATAGATCAGTCCTTTACTCCTTTTAAGGGTTAAATCCACCCTAACTTCTTGCCTAGGAAACCCACCATCTGCTAGGCTTTTACATAGTCTTTCCAACCACCCTTTAAGATATATACCATTGTTATTCCCATTTTTATGGATGAGAAAACTGAGGCTCTGAGAGAATAACTTGCCAACAACACTTAGCTGGAGGTAACAGAATGAGCGTCAAAACCAGGCTGGCTGACTCCAAGGACTGGCGCTCTTAACCCACAAACGACAGCACCACTGAACTTGCTTTTTGATTCCTGTTGAATTGTACACCCCCAACTCTACAAAGCAGTATGCAGCTCTTATCTTTTCATCATTAGTGTAAATCAGGATTTTTTTTCCCTAACAAATATATCCTCTTTCTTTTTCCTTCTCTATTTCTGGCTTTAGAGAATCTTGGGGGAAGCAGGCCTTCTTCTTCCTTCCTGCCAGCAGGCCCAGCCAGACAATTCATGTGATGTCAGCCACTGGGGCTTACCTTGCCTACTGATTCTGATTGACTGGCAGTGACTGACTGGAGTGCTGGGTGGAGATGGATTATCAGGTCCTGGCTGGGTCTGGAGGAAGGGTGCTGTGATTGATTAATAATGCCTGCCCTGGGCTTGCCAGGGGAAAAGGCAGTGTGCGTGCCATATATATGCTGTCCTGGCTCAGGTAGCAGGGAAAACTACAGATGTAAAGCAGCAAGATAATAGCCAAGCAAAACTAATGGAAATGAGGAATTTCAAATAGAGGAAGTACTCTGAAAATGTTCAGAATCAAAGATGAGGGGGCCAGTAGGGGTTGTTCAGGAGGGGGAAGAGAAACCCTCAGCAACCCTTGGATACTTTTCAGCATATCACCCTGCTCTCCTTTCAGTCATTTGACATCTGTGGCCGAGTGGGCGGAGTTAGAAAAGCCCTGAAACTTCTTTGCACCTCTCAGGTGAGTTGACTTCAATTGGCCTTGACTGAAGTTGTGGGTACCAGAAACAGATCGGAGTGTATCACTCCACGAGGGTCCACAGCATGTTTCTCTCTTCCCGTCCCTCAAACAGAATTACGGAGTCCGGGCCACTGGGCAGCAGTGCACAGAAGCTGGAGATATCTGTGCCATCTGCCAGGCTGAGTTCAGGGAGCCTCTGATCCTTATGTGCCAGGTGAGCAGGGTTGGGTGGGGCTGTCAGAGGCGGAGCCTGGGCTGGGAGATGCTCTTGCCCCCGACAGCATTCTCAGAAATCTGTCTGCTGACCAAACCTCTGGGCTCTGGCATGGGTCTTTGGAAATAGGGTCAATACCAGAGTCAGCCAGGTTCGTCTTGAAAGCTCAGTTCTGCCTCTTATGAGCTGGATGGCCTCAGGTGGGTTTCTTCACCTCTCTGAGCCTTAGTTTTCATCAGTAAAATATAGAAAATGAAAAATTTAGCATGGATGGTATCATGTCGGATGTCCTGGGTGAATCCCAGTAACACTCTGGACCGTGGGTGGGTCACTCTATCTCCATGAATCTCGATTTTTCGTGTATAAAATGGTATCCTAATATAATACCTACTTCAATTCACAGAGCTGTTATCATGAGTAAATGAGATCATCTCTACAGAGCTAAGTTTCAATTATTCAGCCATAAAAGTTAGCATTATTGCATTATACTATTACATTATCATTATTATTAGTGTTTGTTTTTATTAGTAGTTGGGGGTCACCAACCCCAGGCAGCAAGTACTGATCAATCCCTATTAACTCCCTAAATGTATCCCTCCCTCTCCTTACCTTCCTCTTCTTTCTTCTCCTTCTCCTGACACCGGGGTCTAAGATGTCAATTCAACAAATGTGTAGGAGTCCATGTCTCCTATCAGGCACTGGGGAGGGGAGACAGAGGGCACACAGACCCTGTCCCCTCCTCAGAGGCTCCCGGTCTCCTTGGGGACATAGACACATACATAAATAACTATGAAACAAGGCAGGCAGCGATGAGTTCTGTGCGAGAGAGATCCAAGCAGCATCCCAGGGGACCAGGACAGACAGCGATGAATTCCAGGTTGGGAAGGAGGCAAAGCCTGCAGCCTACAAGAAATGGGAGAACATATGGCCCCCCCACCACCTCCTCCACCTTCTGGGGGTGGGAGGACAGGAGGTGGCATCCTTTTTTGGCATCAGCAAATATTTTTTTGTGTGTGTTTTTGCTGCTTGGGGATTTTTAGGAAGTTTGTTTTGAAATTTTATTGTTATTGATTTTTAAATTGAGAAAATAATTGCATGATTAAAAATTCCAAAAGGAGGCTGAGGAATTGTGACAGCTACGTGCAACCTGGCACCTGGCTTGGGGCTCGAGAAGGGACCCAAGTAGAAAAACTTGTTCTGTGAAACCGGAACAAAGCCTGGAGTTAACAGTCACCTATCAAGGTGAAGGTTTCTTACCTTTGACAAATGCACCATGGTCGTTCACGATGGTAATATTAAGGAAAACTGAAACTGAATGAAAGGTACATGGGGACGTTCTGTACTATCTTTGCAACTTTTCTGTAAGTCTAAAATTATTTCAAAATAAAAAGCTTATTTTTAACAAAATGTTTTCAGGCTACAAAAAGGAAAGTAGTAACTGGGCTCCCACCCTTGTCACCAGCTCCCCAACCCCATAATACCCACACAGGTAACCATGGTTACCAGTTTCTTTGCTATCTTTCCAGAGATGCCTTCCTTGCAGGATTTAAACATATATATGTACACACACATACATATAAACATATGTTTTCAAAAAGACATAAGTTGCTGCATATTCTGTCCAAACTGCATTCTGCTTCTTCCCTTTTTTTTTTAAAGATTTATTTATTTATGCATGCAAGAACTGGGGTGCAGACTAGAGGTGCAGGGGGGTGAGAGGATTCACTGAAGACAGAGTGGGAAGCAGAACAGGTGGATCTACTGAAATACACTGCTGAGGGGAGCAGCGGGCAAAACAGGAGAAGTCTGCTGTGCCATGTAGGTCAGCTCCCTGGCCAGGGATCGAACTCGTGCTGCAGAGGATGCTGATAAACTCAAAGTGCTGCAACTTTGTACTACCTGGGAGGTCCCCTGCCTCTTTCCTTTTTAACTTGAAACTCTCTTAAGAAATTGCTTCTTATTTGCATGCTATCCCATTTTATGGGGAGACCATAATTTGTTTAACCATCCTTCTATCGATGGGCATTTAGTAGCTCACAAGCTTTTGTTATTACTATCTTTTGTTGTGAAAGAGCAGAAATGGAGAGAGCTATAGCACCTATCTGGGCTCACCGTTGATGAAATGAGTTCATTCAAGTAAAGCATTTACAACTGCACCTAGCTCTTGGTCTAGGTTCATTAAATATTAGGTCTTATTGGCACGCATTCCATGTCGCACGTGTGTGAGCTCTTGGTAGGATAAATTCCTAGTGGTGGAATTACTAGGTCAGAGGGTATGCGGTTTTGACAGATAATGCTAAATTACCTCCCATAAAGAGTGTGTCCGCTTATCCTCTCAGTGCGGAGTGCGAAACGACCTCTCTCTCCCCTCTCGCCAGCTCACCGCTTTAGGGAGTCTTTTTTTGAGCTTTGCTAATCTGACAGGTGACAAACGCTATCTCAGTGCAGTTTTAATTTGCATTTCCCTAATTATGAGCATCATTTCATATGCTTCAGAGCCATCTGTATTTCCTTCTCAGGAGCAGTGATTATTTGAACATGATGTCAAGGTGAAAGTCTTTCTTCTTCCTTTCTGGCCGTCTCGCCAAGTCTTAGTCTGTCTCTCTTCCACTGTGTCTCCCCAGAGCTGGGTTGGAATTCTTGGGAGGGGATGGACAAGACACTGCTGCGTCTTGATCTAGCTGCCCCAGACCTAGGAGCAAGGACTGCTCCCTGTGGCGCTCAGCACTTGTTCTGCTGCTGGGAGCCAAACCTGGAATGTACAGATGACTTCCACAGCTGAAAGGGCCTCATTAACTCATTCATGCACAGAATGAATGAATAAATGAATGAATGGGTCATGTTACTTCCTCAGTGATGCATTCCCAGACTAGTAGTACTCCCAGCTATATAATGTCATAGAGCCCTTTGTTTTTACTTTATAGCACTTAACCCACTTGTTACCTTGATTGGGCAACTGGTTGTATATGGTCTGTCTCCTCTTTACCAAATTATAAGCAGCTTGAGAGTGGCAATCATGTCTGTCTTGTTTAGCAGCAGAACCACAGTACTGACTCTAAATTCTGTACAATGGAATAAATTGGATAGATGAATGACTAGAAGGAATGTAATGTAATGGGAAAGGATGACTGGATAGGTGGAGCTGGATGGGTGCATGGAAGAAATGGAGCAGAATGGATGGATGATTGGGATAGAGCTGAATGGTTGGAATGAGATGTTTGGCATGGAGATGGATGGATGGATGGATGGTTGGATTGGAGATGAGTGGGTGGATGGATGGATGGATGGATGGATGGATGGATAGACGGATGGGCTGATGGATGGATGAGTGCGATGAATAGATGAATGGAATGAGATGGGTAGGTGGTTGGGATGAAGATGGATGGCGCTTAGGTGGAAGGTTAGGTAGGTGAGTGGAGAGAGGTAAATATGTGATGACTAGATGGATGGGCAAACAGATAAGACACATGGGTGAGTGGATGGGCCATAAGTAAGGGGATGGGTGGATAGATGGATTAATTACTGGGTAGATGGTCCATGGATGGGTGAACAGGACAATTGGAAGCATAGATGGATGAAGACCCACTAGGCTAACAAACCATCCTGTCTTCCCTTCTGAGAATCATCAAATGAGTCCCAGTGTGTCACTCAGAGCCATGCCCCATCACAGGCTCCAACCAGGCCTGAGAGGCAGACTGTCAGTTTTAGGTGGGTAGTCAGGATGACACTAAGTATGCCTAGAAATTAGAACCCTCTGCTCTGACATCCGCCTTCAGTCACTCCGCAAGTGTTTAGGGTGAGCCTCCTGCAGTGCTGTGGGCGGGAGAGGGCACTTTGAATACAAAGTCAGCAACTTGGCTTTTTTAAAGGACTCAGTGCCGAAGAAAAGAGTCAGTATGATTAGAAGACAAACCGCCCTCCGGGTCTGGGTCACCGTGAGTTTTGACATGTTTCTTTTTGAGTGCTGATGACCTGAATGAAAGAGGGCACGAGAATGGTGACTCCTGTCGACTGCGTGCTGACAGCCTCACCTCTGTTCATTTGCCCCAACACCTTGGGAAGAAACTAGTAACCCCATTTTGTAGTGAAGGAGACAGGCTCAGAAAGCCTGCTCTGCATCTGAGCGAGACCCAGGGAGTCAGAACTCGGGGTGAAGGTAGAGTAGCCCTCTGACCCCAGGGACGCCTCACCCATTCTCTGCTCCTGGAGACATAGCCGGGAAACAGTTAACAAATCAGCGCCACCTGCGTTACCCATAAACCCACCAAATCCTACACTTCCAGCGCCAGAAGTTCCTCCTTCACCTCCCCCCAATAGGGGCTGAGCCCTTTCTCCAGGTGCTGGACATATCAAGTGTCTCCACCTCCAGGAAGCCTTGGATGACCCCCCTGGATCAGACTGATCCCCTATTACTTGCCCCTATAACAGCATGAAGTGCTCCTTTAGAACGCTGTCCACAAGTAGGCACCTACTGCATACTGTGCTGGGAATGGGTTTACCAGAAACTTAACAGTCTGGCATGAAGAGATAGGAAATGAACAGTAAACAGATACACTAATTATTACTGTAACAATAGCTAACACTTATACAGCACTTACTATCTGCCAGGCATTGTCCTAAGTGCCTTCTTTCTTTATTTCATTTTATTTATTTTGTATTTTAGAAAACATTTTGTGCAGATTTTATATTACCATTTTGCCCAAGCTTTTTATTTTGAAAAATTCAAACGTACAGAAAAGTTGAAGGCTGGTAGAGAGAACATCCTTGTATCCTTCATCTGGATTCACTAATCATGAATATGTTACCACATCTGCCTTTTCTTGATAGAAAATTTTCCCTTAAGCCTGTTGAGAATAAGTTGCTGGCATTTTGATCCTTCATCCCTAAATATTTCAGCAGACATCTCCCAAGAACAAGAATATTCTCTCCCATAATCACAATTCCATCTCATTCAGGATATTTTAAAACGATTCAAAAAATATTATATCACATATACGGTATAGGTTCAGATTTCTGCATTTGTCTTCAGAATGTCCTTCATAGCCAGGGTTTTCCACCCAGGTCCAGGAATCACTTACGAATTGTATACTGCATTTACTGGTCATGTCTCAGTGCCTTTAATGTTAGTTAATCCTATGAGAGGAGTACTATTATTATCCCCATTTTACAGTTGAAGAAATTAAGGCCCAGAGAGGTTAAGTCACTTATTTAGTTATATGGCCAGGAAGTAGTGGAACCTGTTACTACTTCCAGTCTCCCTTCCTTTCTCATGACCTCTGTGGTCAACCTAGCAGCTGAAGGGATTTTTTTAAAAAGATTTATCTATTTATGCATACAAGAGCTGCGGTGTAGGCCAGAGGTGTTGGGGGGGCGTGAGAGGATTCACCAAACAGAGTGGGGAACAGAACAGGCAGATCTACTGAAATACACTGCTGAGGGGAGCAGCTGGTGAGACAGGAGAGGTCTGCTGCGCCATGTGGGTCAGCTGCCTGGCTGGCCGGGGAATCAAACTCATGCTACAGTGACTGGTGATAGCTTTGTAGTGCTGTACCTTTAACCCCTGCATCACCAGGGAGGCCCCTAAAGGGATATTTTTATAATGCAGCTCCTATTCAGGCCACTCCTCTGCTCAAAGCGCTGCCATGACTCCCTACCGCCCTCAGAATAAAAGACAGAGACCTCACAAGGCCGTTTACAATCTGCACCCCCATCCCCATCAGTATGCTGGCCTCATCTCTCCCTACTCCCCCACAGACCCCCCCAAGCTCAGCCACCATGTCCTGGCTATTCTCCCCACATACCGGTCCGTTCCTGACTCAGGGCTTTTGCACAGGCTGTTCCTCCTTCCTCGAGCACTCTTTTCCCATCAGGGCTCACTGCTCACTCTCCAAGACCCCCCCTCCTGCTCTTCTATCACTGGCACACTCTACGGTTAGAAATTCCTTTTGCTAACTGTCTCCCCCATTAGAGTGCGAGTTCCAAGCGGGCAGGAATTGTCCGCTTTGTTCGCTGCTGGGTCCCCAGCTCCCAGGACCGAGCATGCGCCTCATAGACCCTGAGCAAAGGGTCCCAGTGGCACAGCTCGCTGTCCCCGCAGCACGTGTTCTGTGAGGAGTGTCTCTGCCTCTGGCTGGACCGGGAGCGCACCTGCCCTCTGTGCCGCTCCGTCGCCGTGGACACTCTGCGCTGCTGGAAGGACGGGGCCACCTCTGCGCACTTCCAGGTGTACTAGGGCCGAGGAGAGGCGTCCAGGGCCAGGCACTGGGGAGACAACAGAAGGTTGGCAGTACAGGAAGCGGCTCTGGGGACCTTCTGAAGAACAGGTCTCAAGCACTGACTGCCCTCCCGCCTCGTCCCCCCACCTCTCTCCCTACCCCGCCTTCTGTGGAACAGTGAGTGCATCCTTCCCTCCCAATGGGGAAGGCTCCTAATTCACACTCACCCTCCATCCAGGTAGGTCTCCCACCCTCTCCCCTCAAGGACCCGCTAATGGACAAGTCCCACCTGTTAGTTACTTCAATAACCTGTAATTCTGTAGATCAGAATCACTGTGATGTATTTTGCAAATACAAATGCTGGGTCCCACCTGATACCTCAGTGGGTAACTCAGTGTACCCCACACTGAGAGTGACCTCCTGACTCATGACCTCCGAGCATCCTGCCTGGATGACCTCCTGCAAACCTCCCAATGGCCCAGTGCTGGCGATACTGTTGCTTCTTCCATTTTACAGATAAGGAAACTGAGGCACAGAGCTCTATGTGCTAACTGTCCCAGCTGGTAATTAACGGTGGACCGAGTTTTCAGTCCTGCAGGCCCGGGGCCCAGCAGAAGTGGTTTTTAAAAGCACGAGAGGTATTTGGGTGCCCATCAGTGGTCCAGGGGCTTAGCAGGTATGATTTGGAACCACATCAAGAATGCTAATGGCAAACTTTAACTCCTCAGATCTAGTTTGATTGGATCCATGAAAAGAATTGTTCCTTAAAATTGCTATTTTCCCTGGCTGGCATGCGCGTTCACACATGGGTCTCAGAAAAGGTGGATCTTGGCCCAGAAGCAGAAGCCACCGGGTCTCCACACCCAGCTCTATTTCTCTCCTCCTTTCTGGTTCTCTCCCTCACTTAAGTCTCAGGCTTGTCAACAGCTCCGTGGACAGCCTCCTCCCCTGAGAGCTTCCAGAGCCAAAGGGACGATTCCCCGCTATGGAGTTTTCCACACGCTGGGGTGGCGGCATAGAGACCGTAGCAATCGGCGTTTCTGTCTCTCTATAACCCAGCTACCGATCTCTATAACAGAGCGGCTTCTCCCCCCATGAGATCCTCCCTGCTTTGAAATCTGGGAGGAGACAGCCCAGGTGATGACATAAAAACCACTGGAATCTTGCCTGCCTCACCCCTCTCCCAACTCCGGGATCTCATTGTGATCCTCAGCACAGCTAGCTGGCAAGGACGCATTACAGAGAAAGCAGCTGTGTGGCCAGTGAGCAGGTTAGCAAGAGAGTCCCGGGAGAAACGGCAAGAGCCTTGCTGCCCCTTGGCACTCAGCCAGAAGGACATGCCCTCCCCATCCCCGATAGAGCCAGGATACAGCCCCTTTGTGCCACCAAGCCAGGCCTTTCCTTTTGCCTGACGTCCCTGGCTCTTGCCTGGTACCCAGCAAGACATCCCTTCTAGGGCAGCGTGGCATCTTTCAAGCTCTGTTACTATGGCAATGGCCACGATGTGACTGTCTCACTTGCCTCGCTTGATAATCAAGTCAGAAAGGGAAATGGAGGGGGAACTGGAATCGGGTACATAAAACTGCTCTGTTCTCCCCCCTTGAGGAAGAACCGAAAGGAAGCAACAAGAGCTTCTGCAGCTGGTTTTTATCTGAAGGATCTTCCTGCCTGCAGAGGCCATCAAACAGGCACAAGAAATTGGAGCGAGAGAAGAATTACTCAAGTGCCAGCATGAGATGGCACAGATAGAGCAGACCGTTGGGAGGCAGGCCTAGAATTCTGATTCCAAACTCTGCATGACTTTGAGAAGTCGCTTTACCTCCCTGTAGCCATCTCCAGGATGACACAACCTAGCCAGTTATCTACTGGAACTTGGGAAACAAATGATGTCGGTTACTGGCAAGTACACCAATGGTTTTGTCAATTACACTCATGCCACCAAAAGAAGAAAAAAAAAAAAAAAAACCTCACCTTCTGTCTATAATGATACTACAGAGTGTCACCTGGGGGTGATCGGGGCAGGTGGGGTGATTTTGTTTGGGATTTTATTCATTCTCTACTCTTGAAGAAAGCCCTGTCTGGAGGTTTTCTTTGGGGAGGATTTAACTTCTGCTCTAGGGAGAAACAGTGGCTAGTGTAGGGTTTTCCAAACAGCAGCCTGCATGAGTGTAAAAGGCACCAAGAGTGCCCCCTGGAAAGGAAGACCACCACTCTCTTTCACGTGTCTTGGCCCTGCGGCTCCTTTGTTAACAGCAGGGCTGATGGCGTGTCGTGCTGGACTATCCAGCCCTGAACATTTTATGACTCGCTGGTTCCAGTTCCACAAAATCATGAGAAATGGTGCTCTTCATGTAAAAGATCTGGAGTGTAATAAATCTGAGAGAATGAAAGGCAGGCTTTGGACCTGCATGTTAACTAACAGGTTCATCACCTTCCTGAGAGGAAAATGTGAGGAGTACTGGGGCAACATCCAGGTGCCTAAGACTTGGGGTGAGAAGAGGAAATGTAGAGTGAATTCTGGAATCCTTTGGTACTTGTATGGGGCCCAACTGGGCCACTCTGGTGTTTCTGTTTTTGTTTTGTTTTTTTTTTTCCACTCTGATGTTTTTAATGCCCCCTTAAGTTCCCTTCTGCCAATAAAGATCATCTATTGACAAAATGTGTGCCTGTGGTCCTGCGTCTCCAGTTGCCTCTTAAAGCCAGGTGGATGTGTTTTAGGACAAATGCAAAGAAGCACGTCACGCAGTGGGTGGTCATCTCATGTTGATATTTCCCCTGGGGTCCCAGCTGAGTTGCTTGTGATGAAGGGCGTGCTCACAGGAGGAACAGGGAAGGCACTGGATGAAACAGGAGGGAGGCGAGCACGAAGCTAAACAAAAGGATGATTTTCAGGCCAGTTCAGCTTGGCCCATGGCGAGCTCTCAAGTATCAGTTGCATCTCAGAATTTATCCCACCCCAGCAGTCCTTGGCTGTGGGGTGATTTTTGGGGGACGGGTTAGAAGGAGAAGGGGTTCCTCTCGGGCACTCCAGCTCTCCATTGAGAAGACCCTAAACTTAAGTGCACAGAGATGCAGAGTAGAACCATGGAACACAGAACCAATAGGAGGGTTCAGAAGGGAGCTGAGCAGGACACCCACAATGTCCACTACGGTGGTTAACTAAGTTATATGGACCCAGAATGGTTTGTCTGAGTGCCAGGAGTTGATGGGTGTTTAAAATGTGGGTAATAGCCTAAGGTGACAATTTCTATTTCTCGAGGGGATATTAATGAAGCCAGCCACAAAAACATCATAACCTTTTTTTTTTTTTTTTTTGTTTGTTTGTTTCTTTGTTTATACATGCACTGGGTACAGTCAGAAGCGCGGGAGGGTGAGAGAATTCACCAGAGCCAGAGCAGGGAGCAGAGCAGGCAGAAGGACCAAAGTACACTGCTGAGGGGAGCAGCGGGCGGCAGGAGAGGTCTGCGCGCCATGTGGGACCCTCCTCTGGTGGCCGGGGAGCAGCCGGGGATCGAACCGGCGCCGCAGAGGTCGCCGGCAGCTTCGCAACCCAGCGCTCAACCGCTGCGCCACCGGGGAGGCCCCAAACATCATAACCTTTTGGTTGCAATTATTTGAAGACTAACTCACATGTGGCTCAACATGAGCTTCAAGTACAGCTGGAATCAGGGTTTCCCATGATGCTATCAGAATTGTGTCATTCCTCCCTACGTTTGTTTTCCTTTGAGGCAGTTTGATTTTTCAGGCAGCTGATCCAATGTGGTAGAAAGATGGCTTCCATAGCACTGTCCTATGGTCTACCAGCCAAACAGTCCAATAAAGAGCTTCTGCTTCCCAGAGCCCCAGCAGGGGTCCTGAGGTTGATGCCCATTCCTTTGTCCCCAAACCAATTACTTTGCCCTTTGGATGCAGAGCACTGGCTGGGTGTTGAGCCCCCGAGATGGGGACAGAGGTGGGAGGGTGGACTCCATCCTCTAAGTCAATAAGGACTGAGAATGGAGAAGCATTGGATGCCCAAAGAGAACATATATTATCTAGAAGAACCATCTATCTTCAACCCACCATTCTTAGAAAGAGACTAGAACTTGGTCTCCTGGTATAACTCAGAACAGGTAAATGCAGGTGAAGGTACCCAACCAGAGTGGCCTGTCTGCCCTTAGTTGTAGACATCAGTGTAGAGGCTTGCTACATGGAGAAATGATGGGTCTGTGCACTGACCTTCAGCCATTGGGCAAGTTCCCCCAACCTATTACTAAACCCAAGAGCAATAGGCCAACTGTCCCCTGGGGTGGTTCTCAGGAATACAACAGCAAAGGTTGAGGTGTGCCCACAGACCACCCCATAGTTTTGGGGGGCCAGCTTTCCACACAGAAATGAAAACACAAAGGCCTTTGGAAGCACAACCAGTTTTTTAATAAATTCATTACAAATATGTACAAAGCGTCTCCAAATTATGAAATTCCTCTTACAAAAGGGTACCATGAACCAGCAAGGTCAGAACCCAGAACGGAATGTCCCCTAGCTTATTGCCTCTAAGGCTGAGCCAGAGGCTTCATCGAGGTTCCAAATACCCCCACAGCCTTCCCTTCTACGCACATAGATTCCTGGGCGCTTGTAGTGCAAAAGGGCTGGGGAAGGAGAAATTTGGAGGTTCAGATGGGAGAGGGGACAGGAAGGAGGTAGGAAAAGCTTCCCATGTCCTAAGAAATTAGATGCCCTGTTTGCAAATTAGATGCTCCTTCCAGGGACCTTATAGAAATCAGAAACAAATGACAGGGAGCAAATTCATAAAATCCCCAGCTAAACCAGCCTGTCAGCCCTGAAACATCCCCTCATTCGACAGTGGACTTAAATCTGGGCTCCAGGTTTACGCTTGCTCTTGAATTAGCACTATGGTGGGACCAGCTCACAAAGAACAGTCCAGTAAACATGAGATCATGGACTTGGGGAAGTCACTCAGATTTGAGTCCAAATCTTGCTCAGCCATTCACTCTTTGTGTGGCCTCAGGCTATGTTGAGTGACCTTGCTGAGCCTTAACTTTCTTGACTGCAAAATGGGAAGAGAAAGAGTGCCAGCTTCTAGAATGGACATGAGGGATAACAGGGAAATGTACGAAGAAGCACTTAGCACTCAGGAGTGGTGAGCTCCCCACAAGTGGTGCCTGCCACGACTACATGAGGAAGCAACAACTAGTCTTTCCATCCTGGGAACAAGTTGAGATGGCAGACTTTTAATCCCTTTCATGTTGGTGCAGCACTCAGAAAACACTATCGGAAAATCTGCCAGCAAGGTTTGGAGTCCCCCTGTTGACCTACCCAATCTGTTAACAATTGTGAACCAGACTGGGAAGGGACTTTAGCATCATCTGATCCAAGCAGGGCTCTCCCTCCTTGATGAACAAGTCTCTTCCCAGATGGGATTCTACAACCTGGCACAATGTAGGTGCTCAGTAAATAGGTGTTGAGTGAATAAATTAAAATTTTTTAAATGAACTTTCAGCTGGAGCTTTAAAAAGGATAATTTCATGTCATCTTCCTCCCTTTTCAGCTCCCATGAGGATAGGCCAATGTCTAGCCTGTCCTCCTTCATCTTCCCACTGGCTTCTGACCCTCTGGCCCAGGGTGACTTAAGGGAACCATCAGAAAAGGGACTGCTGTCAACAGAAGAATAGACCTATGTTCAGGTCTCTGCAGCTTCTCATAACAGGCGGATACTCAGAAAGTCCACAATGGCAAGCCAGTGTCCTCAAAAGATATTTGTGTAAGATCAGAGGAGGACTCTGCCAACTTCCCAGGGAAGGAAAGTGGTGGTTTGTCACTGTCAGAAACATGATCAGAGTTAGGAGTATGCTGAGATCAGCTACATAAATTGTAAAGCCAAAGTCACAGCTCTATTATTCTGTGACAAGATTGTTTAAATCACCTTTATTTTTTCACCAAAAATAGAAAAGTATTAAAAAATGAGACCACTGGTAAAAATGGAAGTCTCCAGTATCCCAGTGAATGGGGGGGGGGGATGCGAAGTGGCTTCTCAGCACCCCCATTCTGTTCACAGTCCAGAACCATGGACAGCAGCCAGCAAGGCAAAAGGCATGGACTTGCCCTAGGGAACCTGTCGCTGGGGCTACAGCTGTGCCAAAGAACAGGAAATGGAACCCCAAAAGAGGGGAAGAGATTTTATTTGCTTGTGAGGGATGAGGTGGGAGAAAGATGCTTCCAGAGGGAATGGATCTAATTTGGAATGTTGAAGTCCCAGGAAGCTCCTACCTGTCTGGCTCCTGGACCCCCACTCTCAGAACAAGCAGCATGGTGAGGAAAGAGGCCCTGCCATTGGCTCCTCACCTCATTATGCAGCAAGCTACCTAAACGATGATCTCAGAGGCCTCCCTCTGCTTTGCACAGACACACACACACACACACACACACACACACACACACTGCTGTCTGCTGAAACCCGATATGAGGTCTTTTTTAAAATTTATTTCAAAGCCTCCCTCCCTCCCTCTCTCTTCACAGACGCTCTGCAGTGAAGCTAATCAAAATCAATGACTCCTTGGCAGCCAGAGAAAAGGGAGGGGGGAGAGGGAAGGATGGTGCCAGCACTTTGCACACTGTGGAAATATTTTTTTAAAAAAACACAAAACCACCACCCCACTATCTCATGCAATCCAAGTAATGCAACAGGAGAGACGGTGGAGACAATATATACATATATATCATGCTTCAATTTCCTAATACAAATGTCCATCAAGAAGTCAAATCTCATATAAAAACAAGCATTAAAAACAACCCCTTGTCAAAAATCGGGGTGGTCGAGAAGTGCACTCAAATTAATGATGTGCAAGAAAAAGCCAGGATTAGATAAATACACAGTTTCTATTAATACAAGAGAATATATACAAGGGACTTGGCTGTAAAGCTCCATCAGGAGGTCATGGGTGCCCAGTTCTCTCAGCATCGTGGCTTCATTGAAATCAAAATTGCCTGAAATGCCGACCCCAGTATTAGGAGTTTGGATCCTCCAGCAGACATGTCATAAGCTAGTAGGCAAGCCAGGGTTGAAAAAGGGATTTCTGACCTTTCACCTGTCCCTGTGCCTAGGTGGTTTATGTGGCTCCACTGAGGTCTTGAAAGCACAGCAGGGAGCCGCAACTGCACCAATCATGAAAACCCCCTCCCCAGAAAATGGGGTGAGCTGAAAAAACCCCAGTGTTTGGCTAGGAAAGTAACAATATAAGCAGAGGCTATTTCATGTCATTTTAATTAATCTGCCCTCTCTATGTTTTTGGCTTCGAGGAGGGGGGTGTTGCCTGCGACTTTCTGCAGACACTACGTACACACCCCTCTACCCCCCCCTAAACTAACTGCAGGGAGAGCTCCAGCATTGAAGGGAAACAAGTTCCCCCAAGTTCCCCGTAAACAAGCTTTCCTCCCCACTGTGCTGAGTTTCAAGCTGTCTGGGGTTAGGAGAAGCTGCCCTTACCTTCAGCAGTTCTGGATTGCATTTTCCTCTAAAGGGCTATTTAGGAAAACATAAGGCATGGATTTTGTTTAAAAAAAAAAAAAAAAAAAAAAAGCAAGAAAGACAGCTCCCAGCTTGCAGCAGCATTGAAAGGTCCTATGTTCTAAAAGACCTGGTAATTTTCAGCAAAGCCTATGGGGATAATTCCCATTTCAGCTCTGTGTCAACTTTAACAATGGCTGATCCCTCTGTTGGCCTCTGAGAACTGGAAGGGCATCTGTTAACCAGCCCGGTCCACCCCCTGTTCGTCAGTACAGGGCAGCGACCTGCAAATCCAGCCATGGACAACGACTGTCTGAATCTGCACCCTGGCACCTCACCATCTCAGCTAACCCTGCACAGAGGACTAATACCTGTTTTGTTGGGTTTTTTTCCTTAAATGAAAGCCAAAAAAATAATCATTGCTCCCTGAAGAGTCTTTGCAGCCAAGTCTCAGTTCAGCACACATTTTCTTTTAGCCCTTCTAGAAACTTCTGAAAATAGTAGCTTATCCTGGGGAAAAAAAAAAAAAAAACAGACCTTCTTGTCAGTCAGTGAGATGCTGGTGCATTTCATTTAAATGACCCATCCCGCCCCTAACATCCCTTGCTTGTAAGTCACCCTTGACCAGAAGAAGAGAGCCGTTTCTTGGCTCTTTAATCTATAAAACCTAAGCCCTGAAATCCCCACAGGGAGAAAGGGAGGCTGTGGGCTGAACTCCCAGGGTACTTTTGCGGGGGTGGAGGAGATAGCAAACAAGTCACACGTAAGGTCAGCTTTCTACCTTATAACCAGAAAGCCACTTAATGTCATGTCCTCCTCAGCTCCCTCCCAGGCGCCACAGTTTGCTCCCAAACACCTCTGGATATTTGTCCCCACACAGAGAAAGAGACTCTCAAGTGGCACTTTTGCAACTCATCCCTTAAAAAAAAATCCAAAACAGCAAAATAGAAATCTCTCTTGTCCCCTGGCCTGCCAGGTCTGGCAACACAAATCCCTGGCAGCACCAGCAAGAACACACTTAGCACCAGCAAAATTTAAGTGAAGCACCAGAGACACCAGATCGGTAAGAAAAAAAATCCCATTTGTCTTGATGAGGCAGTGGGACTAGCTAGCTAGATAGGTCAGTACAGAGAGGGGGGCAGACTCGTCAAGACTTTCAGAAATGGAGATCGCCCAGACCGCCCTTAGAAATTGGCCTCAAGTCCTCCTCCCTTTATTTTTGTCTATTTTGCCTTTTGCGATTTCACCTCTCACCCCACCAGCATCCCTCCCCAGGCGGCTGGTCGACTCTGAGACTTACTCCCACCAGTTTTTGCAGATTTTCTAGGTACACAGCAGGCATCTGTCTTCCAGTGCCCCAGACATGAAAGGGTGTCAAAGTTCACATCGGAAGGTGCAGAAAAGGGAGGGACACGTCCTCGACAAGGCATGCACTGAGTAGTAATATTCATATTTTCTTTTTTATATATAGAGCTGTATGTAAATAGCATTGGGGTGTCTGTTTCTGCAGCTGGATATCCAAAGGGCTTCCCCAGTCCCGTTCTATGTTTCTGCTATTGCTCCAGGTGCTGTCTTTATCCTCCACTTCCTTCTCGAAGTGCCAACCGCGGCCTTTCAAGCTCTGGGCTCCCCCTCAGGAAAACGGGAACCAGCTTTCTCCAAGGACACAGGGTTTTCACCAACCTGCAGAGAGAGAGATTTGTATTTCGGTCAGTAGGCACGTGGGATGACGTCAGTGCCTTGAGCCTCTGCACAGCCAGCCCAGAGCGTGGGGAGGGGGGTGGGGGGGGAAACTGCTAGATACAAAGCTCTGGTTTGGGAGGAAAGTTCCCCCCAAAACTCTGCCCACATAGCAACCTTTATGGGCAGACATTTGCACACACACACACACACACACACACACACACACACACACATACTTCCCTCTCTGTTTCCTGACCTGAATGTTTACATAGACACCTTTGGTGATAAAAAAGAGAGAATGAAAAGACTTGCTACCTTCTTGACCCTGCAAAAACAGCAAGGGGACCTTCATCTATCCATTTCATAGATCCATATTCAAGACAGGCTTGTAAGACAGTCTCTGCTTTTATTCTTATTCATTCATTCACTCCCAACAGGCTAAGCACTGCCCCAGGTGCTCTAGATACAATGACATAGTTCTTTCCCTTAAGGGGCTCAGAGGCCAACGGAGGGAGATGAGGAATTGATAATGACAATGTCATGTGAAGAGCATGCAATGTAGGTAAACACAGGCTCTGGGAGCCCGGAGGGGAGGCCACTGCTGCGAGGGAGGGGGAGTCAGAGCAAGCACCACAGAGGAAGAGGCACATCCCTGCTGAGTGATGAAGGATGCTAGGGAGTTAGCAGGGATAGACAGAGGCACTCCAGGCAGGGCAGGAAAAACCTGCACATACCCCAAAAAATGGAAGACCCACGTCCACACAAAAAACTTGCACACAAATGTTCACAGCAGCATTATTCATCGTAGCCAAAAAGTGGAGCAACCCAAATGCCCATCCACTGATGAAGGCATAAACAAAACCAGGTATATCCATGCAGTGGAATATTATTCGACCGTGAAAAAGAACGAAGCACCAATACACTCTACACATTATGCTAAATAAAAGAGGCCAGGCATGAAAGGGCAAATATTGCAGGATTCTGTTTCTATGGATGTCAACAAGAGACACATCTCTAGAGGTGCAAAGTAAATGAGTGTTTGCCTATGGGCAGGGCAAGGAAGGGTGGACTGGGAGACGTTGGGGAGTGACTCCTAATGGGCGGTGCAAGGTTTCTATTGGAAAAATGAAAATGCTCTAAAATTGATTGAGGAGCTATAATAAAAGCCATTGATGTGTACACTTTAAAGGGTAGATTTTATGGCAGGTGAATTATATCTGGAGCAGGAGCGGGAGAGGGGAGGGCGGGCTCCAGGGAGGATGGGGCAAAGGGGAGAAGTGGGTGGAGAAAGGAGAAGACACAGGCCCAGGGGAGGCACAGGGGAATGGAAGACCACACTAGGCAGGGGCCCAGAGGGAGCCTGGCAAGGCTCATGCCAAGACTGGCGGTGGGGCCTGGGGAGCGTGGAGGTTCGGAGCTGCAAGTTAGCAGAGGAGAGCAAACCATTTCACACAATGCTCTAAAGCAGGTGGCGTAAGAACTGCCGAATGAGTAATACACACCAAGTGGTGCAGGAGGGGAAGCGGGAGAGAGATCCCGCCATGACTCGGGTCGGGATTCTGTCAGGGATAATGACGCGTTTGTACCAACAGGCTCCCTTGGCCTCCGGCTTCCTGCCAGGCCCCAGTCAACAGAAGGCAGTGAGGGGACAGAGAGATCAGGGTATTTGTTCCCCCAGCTCCCTTCCTGTGGGCCACAGATTGCCACCGCGCCTGCCAGGCGGCTCTCTGGTTCCACTCCAGGCCCTGCAGGCTCCAGACCCCCTTCCCTGGCCTCACCCGGGCGGGCCAGAGCGGAAACCTCTGCCCCGTGTTGCCAGCCCTGGGGTAGTGCGTTAGCCCTTACTGGTTTCCTAAGCCCTACCCACACCTTGGTTTTCAGTCTTCCAATGAATTCCCCTCCAATCGCTCAGTTTTGGGGTGCTCTCTGCCTCTTACTGGGACCAGGGCCAATACATATGACTGCATGGAAAAGATGAGCCAGAAACACATGGACCCCACGATCTACATCAGCTGACAGTCATAAGGCCCTCAACCTTTTGCTTGAAGGCAAAAGACCTCTGTAGTCCTTTCCCCTCCTGCCCCCATCTACCCCTCAGGTCCCCTCCTATCCGTGAGGGTGAAGGCACCCCAGGACCCCTGCCTTACCACAGAGCACCTCCATGGGTACCGAGTCAGCGTCATCCACCAACTCGGTCGACAAAACACACTCGACTCAGTTTATAGAAGCCAGTCTGCAGTCCTTAAAAATCTTAGAGTCAAAATAAGGGGCGTGGGAACGGTACGGGGAATATAACCAAAATGAAAATGCATACATTGTGCAAAAAGGAAAAATGATGTAAGAATTATATATAATAAAATAATAATTAAAAAATAAAAATAAAATAAAAATCTTACTGTGTGGGTTTCTAACCACACTGACCTACAGGAGGAGTCATTGGCACCCCATGGTCTCAGCCTAAGATGATCATGTGGCCTTAAGCACAGGTATGGGGAGCAGAACAGGCGGATTGACTGAAATACACTGCTGAGGGGAGCAGCGGGCGAGGCAGGGAGGTCAACTGTGCCATGTGGGTAGCTCCCTGGCTGGGGACCGAACATGTGCTGCAGTGGCTGGCGAGAGCTTGATAGTGCTGTCTTTAACCCCCGTGTCTCCAGTTTTACCAGGGAAGGCAGCACATGCCAGAGGCCAGAACCCCACAAAGCCATGGTCCGCAGGTGTGTTTCTAGCCCAGAAGTCAGGATGCGCTGATGTCCGCCAGCAAAGCTTCAGAGGGGCAACAGGCTTTGCCCATGTAGAAGAAGCATGGGCCTTGAAGAAGCATGTCCGTGTTTTGTCCATGTTTGGAAGAAAGAAGGTGGAAAAGTGCCTGAGCGGGTATGAGGGAATCCCTGCCCCAGAACTTCGTGAGAACTGAAGCTGCCTCTGCATGTGAGCTGACTTCCAGGGTCAGGAAAGGTGAAAGAAACTATATTTTTAAAGCCTGTGATCCCTGAAAGGAACGGCATCTTCTTACAAAAACAGCACCCATTTTCACTTTCAACTCAGTAAATCACTGAGTTGCTGATGAATCTTCCCAAGAGTTTTTCAGAGCTGCTAAAACTAGACAAATTGCGGTTGGTGACAAGCTCGGCGTCCACGGTGAAAAGTCAACATCAGGAGCGCAGCACCAACGAGCCGCTAGACACCAGGGCACCAAATCCCACAAGCAGAAGGCAGGTGTGTGCACACCTTCCTGGGGCATCTTACATTGGACCCCCTGGCTAGGGGGCAGTTGTCATGCAAATGTGCAAGAAGACCTTAGAAAGAGGTAAAGCTACATGTGCTGGGACAGAGTGGCCAGGACTCTTAACTGAAGAGGGTAAGTGGCCAAATAGCATAGTCCCAGATCTCTTTACCTGCATGCGTGTGTGTGTGTGTGTGTGTGTGTGTGTGTGTGTGCTTATCTCCATATAAAAGGGACGGCAGAGAGGCAAGCTAATGTGATGGTTCAAAGCACAGACTCTAGCGCCAGATGCCTGAGATGGAATCTCATTCAGGCTCTGAAAAGCTGTGTGGTGTTGGGCCAGTTACTTAACCTCTCTGGGCCTCAGTTTCCTCCTAGAGAAAAGAGAGCATATAGCAAATCTCAGAGGGTTCATGTGAGGACTAAAGTGTTAACAAAGCTAGAGGTACTTCATACCAGCACATGGTAAAGTTTGAACTTCTTGTTATTTTGCTATTACATAACAACAAAATACACCAGACTGTGAGTTACCCCCCACTCTCAGGGAGTGGCTTTGGGGGACACAATATAAAGGCACCTGCAATACTTTCTATTACATACTTCACTTCTGTATCTTTTTATTCCTTTTTCAGGGAGCCAGCAGTAACCAGACAATTTCACACTATTTTAAAATCGTGGCTCCCTCTCTGCACTCCCCTCTGTCCTGTGGCTTGGGTTATTTTCCCTCAAACTTGGCTCATAAAGAACTTTCTGAAAGGCTGACTCACAACCTAATAAGCTCATGACTGAAGAGATTCATGAAACGCCTTTTTTAAATCATTCCTATTTCCACTTTTCACCCACAATGTGGAAAGGGGAGGCGGGCAGCGGGGGAGAAGGGGAAGCCTCAGAGCCCTGCCTTCTGGGGCGAGAGCAGAGGGATGTGAAGGCTGAGGCCCCTGTGGCAAGAGATGAGGCAGGAGGCTCACTCTCTGCCCCTCTAGCTGAGGGGAGTTAGGGTTCTTGGTTTCCCTCCTAGAGACCCTAATGTTCAATTAGAAAAGTACTTCTTTTGCACTTGCTCTTTGCAAAGGGGAAAGTGCCAAGTTCAGAGAAGGATTTAAAAATAAAAGGAAAATCCCCTTCACTCCACTTCTAAGTCTCCCAGAATATTTTCTGTGCATTTAGACACCATGTCCCCCTCCCTGTGTGACGTCCGCAGAGCCTAACACAATGCCCAGCACAGAGTAGGTGCTTAATTCAACCTTTGAGTGGCAGTGAATAAGTGAGCTAGTGAGCTAGTGCTCTTCCTCTTTTGGTTTTATTTTTAGCAGGTTGATTTTGACCTTGGGGTTCAGGTGATACAGGTGAACAGTCCTAAGGTGCATGGCATTCCATGCATGCTCCATGCTCATGCTGCCCAATTAGGAAGCTGGGTGCTGAGGACACTCTGTGGGGGACAGGGAGAGGGGCTGAAAAAGCAGCAGGCTAGATTTGGGGAGCGAGAGTAAGGAAGAGGCACAGAGCTGCTCCTGGAGGAAGTATCTCCTCTGGCCGGCCCAGCCCCCTGCCATGGGTGAGCAGTCACTGGAGCTCTTGATGCACAGTGATCATGTAAAGTCTGCAAAGAGAGATCAGAGAACTCAGCTCCCAGCCAATGTGATTTTATGGCATGTGGGCCTTGAATGCCAAACTCACTTCACTTCCCGAAGGGTAAACGCTGAGAGCTAGGAAGAGGTGGGACAGCACTGGATGGACCAATCAAATGGGCCATCCCTTCTGAATCTTGCCTTAG